AGAAAGATACAACCCCTGAATTTGGACAGCCTTCAGTGCATTGCTGACGTAATCTGCCTTAGAAAGATACAACCCCTGAATTTGGACAGCCTTCAGTGCATTGCTGACGTAATCTGCCTTAGAAAGATACAACCCCTGAATTTGGACAGCCTTTGGCACATTGCTGACGTAATCTGCCTTAGAAAGATACAACCCCTGAATTTGGACAGCCTTTGGCGCATTGCTGACGTAAACTGCCTTTAGAAAGATACAACCCCTGAATTTGGACAGCCTTCACTGCATTGCTGACCTAATCTGCCTTCGAAAGATACAACCCCTGAATCTGGACAGCCTTTGGCACATTGCTGACATAATCTACCTTAGAAAGATACAACCCCTGAATCTGGACAGCCTTTGGCACATTGCTGACATAATCGGCCTTCGAAGGATACAACCCCTGAATTTGGACAGCCTTCAGTGCATTGCTGATGTAACTGGCCTTTGAAAGATGCAACCCCTGAATTTGGACAGCCTTCGGTGCACTGCTGTGATATAATCGACATTTGTAAGAAGCAGCYCATGAAATCTGGACACAATCAGAGACTTGAGTAGAGCTCCACATCTAAAGGAGCCAGTTGAGGTGGTTTGGGCGTCTGGTAAAGACGTTCCCTAAACCTTTCACTAGGAAGGTGTTCCAGACATGTCCAACAGTGGGGAGAACCCAGGGAAGTCTCCGGACCCTTAGCTGGTCCTGGCAGACAGGATGGATGCTGGCTGTCATGGTTAACACTGGCTGGGGGTTTGATTTGACCAAATAAACACATTAAAGGCGTTTAAAACATTTCCCCTCTTTAATGTGTTTTCAAAGATCTGCTGCTACACTGCAAACTGCTCCTTCCCTGCTGTGCAGCGATTAGTAACACAACCTCTAATTAACATGCAGCACAAACAGTGAGGACAGGAAGTGACACGTACCACTGTCTGCTTCCAAAAGCAAAGTCAACGAAGACAAAAAACGGTGCCGTCGAGTTAAATGGTGCGATTAGCRTCACGACCAACAGCCCAGCAGAAACTACAAGTGCAGCACTCAGGACGAGACATGGGAACCAACTATTAGAGATTCTTCTGCTGCAGCATATCTGATCATTTCAGAAAGAAGAGGAGGGAAGGATTAGAGATTCTCCCTCCATGGGAGCATCTCTGCTAACAGCATGCTGTGGCAACGAGTGATTAGTCACCATGGCGACGGTCAGTCCACTACTTGTGTGAAACGTGAGCAGGAGCAGAGCCACCATTGATGG